AAAACCCCCGAGTAACCATTTTCAAGTGAATCCAATGATTTTTTAAAAAAAAGTCCGCCATATTGGATCCGCCATTTTGAATTTTTAAAAAGTATCACTGGATTCGCAATCAGTGACCCCAAAAACCCCCGAGTAACCATTTTCAAGTGAATTCAATGAATTTTTAAAAAAATAGGCGCCATATTGGATCCGCCATTTTGAATTTTGAAAAACGCCACTTGGCATTAAAAAGTATTTATTTTTATAGAATTTTTAAGAACTTGGTCGATTTTTTATATCTAAACCAATTTTGGAGAGATGGGGGGCTTCAGTTGACAAAGAATGCCTCTAGGTATACATATATAAATAAAATTTTAGAAAAAGGGAAAAAAATCTTTTTATAGTTACATTTAAAAATCTATTATACAGATTACCCGCAATGACGCCATTTATTACAACAAAAGTACACGATTAATAAATTAAAAGTTTAGTTAATTGAAATAATAAGTCATGTCATTATTTTGATGACAATAGTTAAGAATGTTTTAATAAGTTGGGTATCAATGTCTCAAATGCATAGTGTCACGATTTTTATAGCATCTGCTGTTGGGATCTGACATGGGGGCGGGGCCTAAAGCAATATGGCGTAAATTGGGTAACACTTTTAGTGAATTTACATGGGAATAACATGAGATGCATGTTTAAAAATCGTTTTTAAAATCGTTTAAAAAATATTGCTTAATTTAATAAATGTATAAGTGAATTTTTTTAATACAAAATTACTATTTACATTCCTATTTACAAACATGAATAAAAATATAAAAGAAATCTTATTTTTATACAAATTATTTTCTCAAATCCAGCGATACATGTGCAAGAAAAATATTGTATTTTCCTTTATATTTCATGTAATTATATGAAAATTTATAAATGTATGTATTTCATTTTTCATTGTGAAAGTTTGTTAACAAGAAGTGAAAAAAAAATTTATTTATCCGTTTTTACAGTGATAAATTAACTTTCAAAATGTTCACATGCACGGGTAATATGAAAGATTATATAACCTCCAAATTTCAAAATCTTAAACTTACATGGCAAAATGTAATCACTTCTTTTGAAATGCAGAGAACATACTCTCATAGAAGGCTTTATACTGTTTATTTTTAAAGCATTTTTCCAGGCCTTTAACCCATTAACGCCCAAAAACTGAAAATTCTTTGTACACATTCAGGTTACGTTATTTTAAATAAATCGGTCAACATTTTCTACGAGAGGTACATTTCCTATAGGTCTTGAGTGTGGTCTTTCCGATTCCGGTATCAAAAATTAATTTCGTCTAAGCCGAAATTAAATATGGCGGTTTAAATGTCAAAAAACACAAAAAAAGTTTCATTTTTTTCAGTTTGACATTTTTTTTCAATCGGAAAAAATGTAAGAATAAAATTAAATTGTCAACCATAGGTGCATAAAAGTTGTGTACTTTCGAGAAACGTAAAGTAGAATAAAAAATTGCAAGATGGCGGACCAAATATGGCGTCAAATTCATTGTAAAATGTGAAAATTTTGTGCAATATTGGTCAAATTGACAAAATGTAACTGGATTTGCCTGAATTTTGTTACTCGGGGGTTTTTGGGGTCGCTGATTAAGAATCTGAAGTCGGTTTTCAAAAATGCAAAATGGCCGATCCAATATGGCGGATGAAATTTTAAAAATGCATTCAATTGGTCTGAATTTTCATACTCAGAGGTTTTCGGGGTTGCAGATTACGAATTTGAACTTCTTTTTTAAAAATTAAAAATGGCGGATCCAATATGGCGAATAAAAATTTTAAAAATGCATTTATTTGGTCTGAATTTTTATACTCGGGGTTTTTCGGGGTTGCTGATTACGAATTTGATCTTCATTTTTAAAAATTCAAAATGGCGGATCCAATATGGCAGATAAAAATTTTAAAAATGTATTTATTTGGTCTAAATTTTTATACGTTTCTCGAAAGTACACAACTTTTATGCACCTATGGTTGACAATTTAATTTTATTCTTACATTTTTTCCGATTGAAAAAAAATGTCAAACTGAAAAAAATGAAACTTTTTTTGTGTTTTTTGACATTTAAACCGCCATATTTAATTTCGGCTTAGACGAAATTAATTTTTGATACCGGAATCGGAAAGAGCACACTCAAGACCTATAGGAAATGTACCTCTCGTAGAAAATGTTGACCGATTTATTTAAAATAACGTAACCTGAATGTGTACAAAGAATTTTCAGTTTTTGGGCGTTAATGGGTTAATTGATCGACTTTTTCAAAATTATCGAACGTATTTTTCACATCCACTACTCATTGTTTTGGTTTCGGAAATTTATGGAAAATTACGCTTAAATTTTTCGCTACAGTACTGCCACAGCCTCTCACAGAACACTTAATTCTGCAGGAAGATTTCTCACGCGGTAAAAATGTAGCTTCATTCATAATGATAAAATAATTAACAATGACAGCGGAACTACAATTGAAAGTGACACAAATAGTTATCCAAAACTAGTTACATTTTTCAACACCAGATGGCATGTGTACGAATGTCAGATCCCAATAGGCAGCCCGCAATAACACCATTCATTCCAAGAGCTCGCTTCTTTGAAGTAAACAATTTTTCGTATGATTCAAACTTATACACATTTTCTTCAAATTTACCTTTTAGATGCTTCAAATGAAAATTGTCAAAGAATTAATAAATTATTCTGTTGATATAAATAGATTAACTATATCATCAATTTACACAATGGCATTAATTTTACATTACCATACTTTTGATTTAAATAGTTTCGTTTTTTCATTTTATGTAATATACTTTTCAATCAATAAAATTGTTATTGAATCAATAACGGGAAATTCAATAGCATTGAACTATTTGATTCAACAGTATTTTTTTCTCAGTGTACTATCCCATTCGCATAGGAACCATGGTTATTTCGCAAATCAGGATTGTTGACCCTATAATTAGGTATTTAACTCAGGAATTTCGGCGGAACTGTTTTCCTGATGAAATAGTGTTTACATACACTATTATTACTTATATACATATTTTTTCATATTTTCAAAACGTATAGAATCAGTGAAAAATTATTTTTTCGATTATTTAAAACTAATACTAGTACCTATCTAAATGAATAGATGTAAATTAGAGGTGGGTTCTGAGGGGGTTGTTTTTTTATTATTATCCATATCTGTGAAACTTTGATCATTGTATTCAATTTTGAAACAACTGAAGAATATTTACAAATAATAATAAAGCAGATAGGATCTTAAAAATATTTAATTTATCACTTAGATTAAGTATCAGTTTTTTTTGGATAGTAATATACCTTAGAGTTGGTTTTAAGGGATGAAACATGTTAAAAAAATTGTTTTTTCATAATAATATTAGAATAATCAAATTTAATAAACATTCTACTTTTAATGTAAAGACTAAAAAGTCGACTATTTAAGGGTTAAGCATTTTTAAATGGCGTTACTAAAACACGGTTGTTACAACAGAATAGAAAGTGGCAATCAATTTGGAAATTTAGTTGGCTCTACCAAAAAATATATTTGAAACATTCATGTTTACGTACTATAAATAGTTTGGTTCCCAGTACTAAATCGCTGGCATGCTGAATTGCGCACACGCTGTTCTCGTAAATATGGCGTTGCTTGACATTCACGGGATGTCATCATTACCCATGCGTCGTTCGAGTCGTGAAGTTTCGTTTAAGTGTTAACGTTTTTATGTTTTTTAGATATATTTGTTTAAAAAAGTTTGTGTAGTGATGCATATCGAGCAATATGATGGAGAAATTGACAGGTATACGGAAAATATGTTCCTTTAACATGTGAAATTTGTTTTGAATCGTTGAATCAAATAGAACATCTTGTTAGAAAATATTACAAATTACTAATTTTCGTGATTAAAGTCATATTTTTATTGTTTGACTTACTCAGTGAAAAAATTTTATACAAGAAAATGGTTAATATTCTTTGTAAAGAAACGAGCACTTGAATCACGAGATTTTATCGGTTCTATATGCATCACTAAGTGCTTACAACAAAAAAGCTATATTTTCATATATGAAAACATGGCTGTCCAGAGAATAAAACTTGTTAAAAGAACGAAAGTTTTTTCCAGCCTTTATACTTTGTTAAAATGATTTAATCTCAAATTGTTGCTAGTATTCGTAGAGAAGTGGTCAGCGTTCTCGACTTGCGTTGCGTAGTCTGATAGGGTTTGAGCCCCAGCAGTGTTAGGTTTTTTCCGTGATAGAAATTAATTTAAGTAGGCGTAGGTAGATTATATAAATCGAAAAGGGTAAGCTAAAAAATAATTTGGTTGAGAAAACGAAAAAAAATTTCATTTAACATTTTTTGATTGCTTAAAAACAATAATTTAGTTGTTCGAAACGAAAAATTTGGTAGACGAAACAAAGGGATTCAACAAAAAAATTAAGTTTTTCCAACCAAACGGTCTAGTCGCTACTATTGTAAATAAAAAATTTTGTAGAGAAAACCAAACTTTGGTAGATGATACTAAACATTTTTCTCAGTGTACCCTTCCATAATAAACCACATATATCTCCTCCTTAAAGTTCCATTTTTAGAATATTCTGCTATATTAACTTTCAGATTCTAAGCAATGCAATGTACAGACAAAGTCTGATTGTACACTGTGCTCTTGAACTAGTCGGAGGTTCCGACAAATTATCAACCAAATCTGACCATGGGATCATGGTTCTTCTTATTGGCATTAGATTTGATTTTCAGTTTAAATTAAAATCGTACCTTTTTAAACATAAATTGTATAGTGTAAACCACATAGTAGTCGGCCACTTTATAATTTTAAATAGAAACAAAACCATATGAGATAGAAACAATTTGTTTGTTCTCATAGCAATATTTGGTTGACAATTTCTTGGAATCTTCGACTCATTCAAGAACACCGCGTGTAATTATATAGTTTTAGTTTGCTTAAATATTCTACTTTTTTATAGCTATTCGAGATTATAAAGAGGCTTTAGAAATCGATTCAAATCTTCAGAGAGCAAGAGATGGACTTCAACGTGCACAACAACGGCAAAAGTTGTCAGAAACTCGAGACTATTATAAAATCCTTAATGTCCCGCGAACAGCGTCAAAAAGAGAAATTATCAAAGCTTACAGAAAAGCAGCTCAAAAATGGCATCCGGATAATTTTCAGGATGGCGATGAAAAGAAGCAAGCAGAGAAAAGATTTATAGATATTGCTGCAGCTAAGGAGGTTTTAACAGATGATGAGAAGCGAGAGAAGTTTGATAGGGGCGAAGATCCTTTAGACCCAGAGTCAGGAAAACACCAAGGTTTTAACCCTTACCGTGAATTTCATCAGTTTCATGGTTCACCATTTCAGTTCAAATTTCATTTCAATTAGATTCATTAAATAATTTTAATTTTTTACTGATGACTATAAAATAATAGTGTTAGTAAATGGTAGAAGCATTTCGATTCCTCTTTTCCTTCCTCCCTTCCTAAACTTAATAAAGATGAACAAAAAGTTTAATCGGAATTCTTTCACAATCTATTAACACAGTTATATCCATTTAACACACAAATTTGTTACGAATGACAATAGGGCACGATTTATTTTTTAACATACATTACCATTGCCATCGCGAGAAGATTTTGTCATTTATAGCAAATTTGCGTGCTAACAATTATCTAATTGTAAGAAATAGACATTTAAAATCTAATACGATTGTAAAAATTTATTTTGATTTTAGTAGTTATGTTTTTAATTTTAAATAAACGAATGAATCGAAAAAATATATATGTATTGTATAGAAATGAAGAATATATCAACACAAATTATTCATAGGTATCCATAATGCTTTGTAGCATTATTTCAAGTAATTAGAATTTTATATATTTATCAAGTTATTAAAAAATGTTCCCTTGTTTAATTAGCAATGTTAAAAAGACTACCAAAAATTTGTAATCTTACTAAATAGGAGAGAGTGAACTACAATGTATAATTTCAATTTTCTGGAAAATAACTTTACAAAACTATACTAAACTCTAAATAAAAATAAGATTTATGTACCTACACTCACTAAGTCCAAAAATCTCATTTTTAAAAAAGTATTTTCCGCGAGCGAGCGTGTGTGTGTATTTATATGTAGGTATATATGAGGCATTCTTTGTCAACTGAAGCCCCCTTCTGCCAAAAAATAATTTAAATATGGAAAATCAAGTATATGCTTATTACTTCAATAAAAACAAATACTTTTCGATGTCGTGTGGCGTTTTTGAAAATTCAAAATGGCGGATCCAATTGGGACTAAATTTCATGAAATTAATTAAATTCACTTGAAAATTGCCACTCAGGGGTTTTTGGGGTCGCTGATTACGAATCCGATGATGGTTTTAAAAAATTTAAAATGGCTGATCTAATATGGCGACTAAATTCCATAAAATTAATTAAATTGGGGTCGCTGATTACGAATCTGATGATAGTTTTCAAAAATTCAAAATGGCGAATCCAATATGGCGTCAAAATTGATAGCAAATGGTTTCTCAAGCAAAAATGTCTATTACTTCTAGATTAACACCAGATTCGTAATCAGCGACCCCGAAAACCCCCGAGTGGCAATTTTCAATTGAATTTAATTAATTTTATGGAATTTAGTCGCCATATTGAATCCGCCATTTTTAATTTTTGAAAACTATTATCGGATTCGTAATCAGCGACCCCAAAAACCCCCGAGTGGCAATTTTCAAGTGAATTTAATTAATTTTATGGAATTTAGTCGCCATATTAGATCCGCCATTTAGAATTTTCAAAAACGCCACGCGACATCGAAAAGTATTTGTTATTATTGAAGTAATAAGCATATGCCCGATTTTCCATATTTAAACTATTTTTGGGCAGAAGGGGGCTTCAGTTGACAAAAAATGCCTCATATATATATCACGGTGGTCTTGAAACATTTAAATGCTTTTGACACATGTCCTTTTCAAATTTTGGAAAAAACGTTTCTGTACCACCTACTGGATTAATTTTAACTAACATCAAAATCGCGTATTAGGCCGCTTTTTTTAAACTGTACTTTTTTTAAATAAAAAAAAGGTGAAAAATGTTGGAAAACTATAAAAATTATATTGCTCTGAGCGTTAAATTTGCTCAAAACAGAATTATAGTATACGTAAGCGATTAGAAATTTTCAGTGGAGTCTATATTTTTCTTTAATTAACCAAAGCAATTGTAATAAAACCTATTAATATGTGAAAAAGCAAAAACGCCATCAATGACTCAAAATTAAATAAATGTGACGCGACGCGAAGAAAGGGACCTAAGCGTCCAAACGGCAATTTCACAGGAGAGAGAAAAGAGTAGGCAAGAACGTGGCGAAGAGTTTCCGATATCTCTTACTCTCTCTTGCTTCCCACTACTATTTCAAGTTGGCGTCTGTGTGTTCGGGCGTCTTCGGAAAGTAAAGAGAGATGCACCTCGTACACGTGCTTTCGTAGTGAGAGAGAACGGTGTAGTCAGCGCATCTCTCTCTAAATCACGAATACCGACCCGAACTTCAAGTGACGCATGTGTGTGTGAGGAGAAAGAGAGTCAATTCTCTACACGAATCGCTCATGTTTAAATCGTTATTGCAAAAAAACTATTTGATAAATTTTAATTTTGACTTCACATAATTAAAAAGCAATCCTTAATTTATCTGAATCAATCATAATCCGAAAATCAAAAATTGGACTCTTAGGTCCCTTTCTTCGCGTCGCGTCACAAATTTATTCGAAAATTCAATTCCTTGAACAGTAGAACCTCGACAAGTCGAAAACCTCTATTAGTCGAAGTAATTTTTATTTCCCTTCATCAGCTTTTCCATGTATTTGAACCTTGAACACAGGAAAAAAAGTCTTACTCCAAACATAGTCTAATTTTTTATTTTGATTAGAAAGTAGCCGATAACTAATATTAATCACAAATAATGGTCTAAAAATAAGCCGTTGAGATCTTAATGAAGAACGAGATATTAATATGAAAAATATTTAGTTCTATTAGATTCAAAACAAGCCTTTGTAGTCTTGGACTCAATACAAAATTTTATTTGCTAGAAATGAGACGTTAAATATCTTCAATCAAGCCCATGAGGTCTAGATACTTTTGAGTTGTAACTAGACGTACAACGAAAGTGCCCGAGTGTAAAGTGTCATGGACGCCTCTCCAAAAATGTGCCGCGTCTGTAGTTAATCGGAACTAAATGAATTAATTCAAAAGACTCACATCTTCATTCCTGTATAAAAAATTTAAAAACTATGTTTATAAAACATTTTCATATCATAAATTGTTTGTGTCCTATAAATTCAGCTTTAATTGTTATAAGTGTGAAAATAATGTTATATATACAACATAATTTTATTACAATTTTCTCACAAATATAAAAATGTATAAATTATATACAAAAAATAAATTGGTCTCTTTATGTTTTATGTATATATATATATATATATATATATATATATATATATGAAGTATGATTTATATCAATAAGATGTTGTTTGATGTTTTAAAACTTGTATAAAATTTCAATAATATGGCGTTGACAGGTTTCATAAAAGTTTAGGTTATGTTAGCTAATTTTTATACCGCGCAGTGGCTTGATTTAAGCCCAGGTTCGGGCTTGTGGCTACTTTCTATTTCGAAAGGCAGCTTATTGTTAGCCCCTACAGTGGGGCTAGCCCCTACAGCTTAAAGTAAGACTTATTCTATGAGTGAGTTAGAAACTATATCAGTCTAGTTTGTGACCCATATTGAAACTAGCTTCTTTTCGGGTTTGAAACAAAACTTATTTTTTCCTGTGAAATTACATTATACGTCGAATTATGTTTTCAGAAAGCTCTATAACTCGAGGTTTTCAGCGTTTTCCTTCAGTTTCGACTTATCGAGGTTCGACTGTATAACAGTTCTTATACATTATCATTAAATGAACTGTTTGACGTTGTATATTAAACATGTGAGCTGTTGTATTCACAAACAGCGTTAAATAGTGACATAAAATACCTCCCAGTTTCGCATTTAACTGTGCACTTTATCTATGTTTTATTGAAATCAAAGTGAAGAGATTCTATGGATTATTCTGAATAGTACCCAAAACCTTTTTGTGTCTCGGTACAGAATTCCATGGCGTGTTAGTAGAGAATATGAATCTTTTGTCAATTAACGTAAAATATAGCACGGTGGTCTTGATGGAAAAAGAAATGCAATGAAAATGGATCTTAATTCGGGTCGTTGGGGGTTTTTCTAGATCGTTTGTAGGTTCAGAATATGCAAAATTTGAAATCCTAGCTGCTCCCTTTTTCGAGAAATCGACATTTTTGTGTTTTAAATGTAAATTTGGTTTTATCAAGTAAATCAAAACTTCAAGGATTTATTATTAGAGAACAAATAGTAGGATTATTGTATAGCAAACAATTATATTTTTACTATTTTTTAGTTAGTTTTGACCTTCATTTTTACTATTATTATTTTCTAAATGTTACTTTCTTTAATGTTTATTACAATTTTTAAGACTAGTTCAACGATTTATTACGTACAATAATATTTCACTTTGAGTAACACGCCTTTGTAGTATGCATTTAATACTTAAAATGCATAAGCGCTACGCGTAAATTGTATAAAACCAAAACCTACTACTATTGCAGGAATCTCATGCTTTTTCAGTATTAGAGTCCTGCAACTGTCGATCTAATACCGAAAAAGCATGAGACTTCTGCAATAGTAGTAGGTTTCAGTTTCACACGATTTGAGTGTGGATTTTATGCATTTCAAGTATTAAATACATACTACGAGGGCATGTTTCTCAAACCTTTTAAGCATGGACATCAATCATACTAATAACCTATGAATTCTTACTAATATTACTAGAATTTATCTACTATAACAGCATGGAAAAGATTCATGCGTTAAACGTATGCCTTACCATGCTATAAAAGCTAAATTTTTCTCTCCGTGTACTATTACAATTAAATTGTTGTATAACTTTAGTTTTTTGAGAAATTTTTTTAATTTGTATAGATAAATAAAGCACTGAGGAAGGTTAAGAATTGGGCCGAAACGTTTGCTATAATTTTAGCATTAATTATTTGGATCCTAAAGCCCATTCAACAAAATCCTATCATATAATTTTAATTTTTTTACCACATGGAGCTCAATCTTTTTTCCTGTTCTCATCATGAGAACATTTATCTCGAAAGCTCGTATTGAGCAAAAGTCTACTTGATTGACCAAGTATAGATTCTAGGAAAAAATGTTATTTCAATAAAGTAGTGACTTTGCTTAGAAGTATGGTAGGGAGACGCATTAATGACAAACCTACTACTTATGAAGTATCAAGAAGAAGACAAAAAATTGAACGAAGACTGAAATAGAGGAGTCAGGCTATATGAAGTGGCCTCCTGTTTTTCCAACTTTTATAAAAATTAGAAGTAAATGTATTTTGTTGTAGTATTAATAGTATTAAATGGTATCCTAAAAGGGTTTAAAAAAATTTTTTAAGTTAAAAAAGTTATAAACAATTTGAGTTTTATGGGCGATATTTTTAAAAAATTCACAGTTTTTTAAGTTTACATTGAAAAAATATTTTATGACCGGGATTTTATTATTAAATATATGGACTTTTATAGATGTAATGTTAATGTAAAAAATTTTATTTTTTAATGAAAAATTGGGTACTTTTTTATAAACAAATAGAGATATTTTAGTGTTCCAAATCGAAAAATAAATTTTTTCTTTTATATTATCAATCTTCAAACCCTCCAGAAGAAGTACGAAAAAAAATTTTCAGTAATCTACAGTTTTGAGGAAATGGCAAGAGTTTTTGTTGCGTGCCGCGCGTCACTGTAAACCTTGGCGCGTCGCACTGATAGGTGAGCGCGCACACATTTCGCGCTTTTACGATTTTTATAAGGTTGGGATAATTTAAAATTCGCATTGTACAATGAAAATTTTTACTTTTAATTAAAAAAATATATTATTTATTATTAAAGAAATTTTTTTTAATAATTTGTTATTAAATAATTTAAAAAATCAATTTGTTAATAATATTATTTAATTACTAATTAAGTAAATATTAATTATTAAATTATTAAGTTAAAATTTGTTACTAAAATATCTCTATTTGTTTATAAAAAAGTACCCAATTTTTCATTAAAAAATAAAATTTTTTCCATTAACATTACTTCTATAAAACTCCATATATTTAATAATAAAATCCCGGTCATAAAATATTTTTTCAATGTAAACTTAAAAAACAGTGAAGTTTTTAAAAATATCGCCCACAAAACTCAAATTGTTTATAACTTTTTTAATTTAAAAAATGGTTGTAAACCGTTTCAGGATATCATTTAATACTATTAATACTACAAGAAAATACTTTTACTATTAATTTTTATGAAAGTTGGAAAAACAGAGGGTCACTTCATAAAGCCTGACTCAGAGCTAATAATAAATCCTTGAAGTTTTGATTTACTTGATAAAACCAAATTTACATTTAAAACACAAAAATGTCGATTTCTCGAAAAAGGGAGCAGCTAGGATTTCAATTTTTGCATATTCTGAACCTACAAACGATCTAGAAAAACCCCCAACAACCCAATTTTGGATCCATTTTCATCGCATTTCTTTTTCCATCAAGACCACCGTGCTATATTTTACTTTAATTGACCAAAGATTCATATTCTCCTCTAACACGCCATGGAAATCTGTACCGAGACACAAAAAGGTTTTGGGTACTATTCAGAATAATCCATAGAATCTCTTCACTCTGATTTCAATAAAACATAGATAAAGTGTAAAGTTAAATGCGAAGCTGGGAGGTATTTTATGTCACTATTTAACGCTGTTTGTGAATAATACAGCTCACAAACAAATCCTTAAAGATGATCTATGAAAAAAATGTTTAATATATTTTTTTTGTTTCTACCTTTTTTTGTTTTCTTGTGTGTTGGTGGTTCCTCGGGACTCAGCTTGAATTTCACATATCTTCCTTTAGTATGGAGTTGATGAATTTCTTTTCACCCACTCGCGACTGATTTTCACGGTTTATTACTCAAACTTTGATTAATAGTTACTGCTGACTACTGACTGCTGCTTGATGATTACTGATTTTCGTGTGTTTGCATCAGCCTTCTCTTGTGTTCAGCTGGTCCCATTTTTCTAAATTTCCAAGAATTTTCGGTAGTTCTGAGTAGGCTGATACCGAATTGCATGCGCTTGGTTGAATTGCGTCACAAGGGATGGCAGGTATAGGTTGAATTGCGTGCCATGGGTAACCCTAATATAGTCGAATTGTGTGCGGTGGTCGTTGTCCTATATATATCATTTTGGGTTACACATTTCCCTTCGTACTCTACAATCCAACGCAAAATGGATGGATGGATTCTCTGTTTACGTTTTGCAAGGTTCTTTTGCGTTAGCCTTATCCAGCAGGGTTTCTACAAATCATGGAAATTCATGTTGGATCATGAAATTATAGAAATCTCATAGAATTTTTTCAATTCCATGATCTAAGACTCGAATTTACACGTATTTTAATCCATCATAATTTACATTTATAGTGAGTTTTAAAGTATCGTGGAAATTTTATCATTTATCACCTGGAAATCATGGAATTTCGCGAAGAGAAATTTGTAGAAACCCTGTCCAGGCTTAGAACTGGCAGCAGTAATGCAATAATCCTTTGTCATTTGTTAAATAAATAAATGAATAAAAGCAGTAATAGCGCCTTGCGCCTATAGCTATACGAAGGCGATTTGGGAGGGAACGGCACGCAATTCAAACACAGAGAGGGACGGATCGAAACGCAATTCTAACAAAAATGGATCATACCTGAAAAATCGCACGCAATTCGAAATCACCGTCTGAGTATATATGTTAATTTATTCATTAGAACACATGTACGTTTAAGCGATGTATTTTAGACTTGTTTCCAAATTGTAATCAAAATTCACAATTGTAAAAATATTATTATTTAATTTTATCTATAAATATCAAGTATTTATTTCTTTAAAAATACCTGTTCTTTTATAAATAAATCATTCAAAAATATTATTGTTTATAAATAATTGTTTATTCACAAATATTTGTTTATTAATAAACAATTATTTATTTGATAAAAAATTATTTGTTTATAAGGTTTTTATTTTTTGATTATTTTTACAGTTTGAATATAAAAATAAGGTTGGGTAAGTATTAGAATGTATAGAAAAATTGTTCATGAATCAATAAATGCCCTATTTATATTGGATTATTGAAAATTGAGTGAAAAAAATAATTTAAAGTAAAGTATATTTTTGTGAAACTTGTAAAGATTTTGCCTGTATATAAACAAAAAGAAAAGTAAATATAGAGAAATATTATTGTCCAGTAAATAGTAGATAAAGTTTGTTTCTAGCACTATTGTTATCAAATGAAAGCGCATAAAAAGTACCGTCTTGATTCATGCGCATTACGCTAATATTTATCTTATATATTTTTGCAGCAGCTCGACATTCTAACATAGATCCGTAACATCCTGCAAGTCCCATTTTAGATTTGTATGATCGTGGCGTATTCACATTTAATACATGTTTGGCTTCTTCACTGAATTCTTCCCCATTAAAAACAACGTAATTAACAATGTCTCGACGAAACTTAGCATAATTGTTATCTTTATAATATTTATCGATACATCTAAACAAACAATCACCATTACTTCCGGCGTCAGTTGCAAAAAAATCACGATTTTTAATTGTTATTTTTCCTGTCATATTTAAAGGTTATATATAATTATAAATAAAAATAACTTCCTAAAAAATTTAATTCCACAATGAACAATTGTCACTTTATATTTCCAGCACATAAACACAGTTTCATGAACCACAGTTCGAAACTAACTAAACTAAGATTCTTAAAATTGTACAATGTGCAAAAACATATTTCTCACAAAATCGTCTTTCAAAGAAATTGAACTTCTTAAAAATTCATTTAAAACTAATTTTTAAAATAGTATTATAGCTACCCGGACAGCACCGAAACTTCCCTGAACCTTGACTGAACCTCGCTTGACGAGGTTCGGGAACTTGAGTCGCGAGGTCCAAACGAGGTTGAGTTGATGTTTAAATATCCGCGCATAATAAAGGTCAGTCACAGAGGTTGGCTGAATATTGGATTTGAATTTCTGTTAAATATTAAAATTAAACATTCTTGGCATATTAATTAAAATAATTATTAAATTAATTATTACATTCATTAAAAAATAATTAAATTGAAATAAAAAAATGGTCATCAAAGTATTAGTGAAACCATTTCTTCCAAAAAAGAATTTGTCTCAAATCCAATAAACAGGAGAGACATCGGGCAGAAAAAAAAATTTCGACAAGAAAAAAATTTTCGATTACTGCTTATATACCAATCTAATGGCACCTCAACTGCGAGAAACAGTTATGATGTTCGCCCTCCCTGTGGCGTTGAGCGAACTAAAGTCCAGAGCTGAGCCATCAGCGCAGCGCGGGAACATTTGAAAAATTTGATTTTATTAGATATTTGGTTCTATTTGGATACTTAAAATCGGTACTGTTTTAGTACTTTTCTGTATTGTTTTAGTATTTTCTTTTTACAGTGTAGCACGTAATAGCACTGTAATATTAAAATGTCCGCCTCATGGTAATATTACTGTAATATCGCACTAATATTACTGAAATGTTGCAGTAACATTACAGTAATATTACAGTAACATTCAGTAATATTGCAGTAATATTACTGTAATATTACAGCAATATTAACCTGTAATATTATCCGGTAATATTACGTGCTACTTGGGTATTTTTATTAAAAGTATACATTTTTACTTTTATTTTAAGAGGTAGAAAAAACAAAAAAAAGTCAACATTATTTTTGATTTAAAAAAAAAGTTAATTTTGAATTTAAAAAAAAAATTGTATTTTTCGAAAGATCAGGAAAAAAGCTTTTAAAAATATATATGTAGGTCAAAATTTTTTCACATTTTTATATAAATGTTATGATAATAACATAATAACTATAATAATAGGTTATGTTAATTTTTTTCTTCACTTTTTATTGAAAAAAACGAATTGAGCGTGTCTATATTCTATTGTGGTAAAACCTCCATTGTAAGTTATAGGAAGTATGCTTTTCGTATAAGTCTGTCTCCCTCTTACTCATGGATGAAAACTAACATGGAGGTTTTCTGTGGTATACCTGCGTAGGTTATAAAAAAATGGGTTGCTCAAAATTTTAAACTTCTACGCCTGTGAGAAATAGATTTATGACCGCCTGCACCTTGCTTTAATGAGGTATTAAAGCAAAAAACTGAATATATTTTTATAAATAATTCTTTGAAAAATTTTTTTTCAATATTTTGTTTATTGTTTTTAAACCATTTTCATATTTTACATAATTTAAATTTTGTCTCAAACCTGTGCGTTTATTTTTGATAGAGATAGCTTTTTATCTTTGTTTTAATTAACAGCGAAAAGTTAATAAAATAATGACTTTTTATTTATACAATATGTTTAAGAAGGAATCAAATATTATTAAAAAAAATTGGGTTAGGGTAAGTCCGGGGGAGTTGGCCATGCGGGAGAGATGTCCAATTCAAATATTTTATAGAATTTGCTGCTGGGTATCGCTTATTAAAGATTAGTTCGCTTTGTTTTGTGGCAAAACACAATTAAAAGAAAAAACTTCACGAAAAATATTGAAAAAGTATGTAAAAATCTGATTTGTTATTTTGACTAGTTCGGAAAAAAAGTGATGAGTTTACGTTTCTTACTGGTGTTATGTTATTTTATAGAATAATTTTGAATTTCATGTTTTTTTGTAAAGTACATGACCCAAGCTTTGTCATAAATTTATATTTATTCAAAAAATTTATTTATTTATTTAAATTTTAGATGTGTCAATTTGTCTCTTGACATTAGGTGAGATGGCCATACTGTTTAAGTTATTGGCACCCTTGAGATTCGTGTGTTCGCTAAAAAAACATTAATTCTGCGGCAAATTAAATCTTAAAAACGTTTATAAACAATCATAACACAGGTCTAAAAAGTAAGACTTTTTTATATACAGCGGAGTGGTTTTCAATGTATTTTTGTGTGCTGAACCGGATTCCGGGTTCCAAAATTGCGTATCACATCAGGATTTTGAATAAAGTGGAGGTAAAGTCTCCAAAAACAGTGTTTTTGAGGGTTTTCATTATTTTTTTTATTCCTTAACCAGACGTGCTAGACACTTCTATATATGCTTAAATTAAAGCTTAGATCGTACACTTTAAAAGACTCATTTACGCAGGATTAAAAAAAATTTGAAATTTTGAAAAAAATGGGGGTAAATACCCCAAAAATCTTTTTAGGTGACTTCAAACTAATTTTTTTTCCTTGCGCATATGAGTCTTAAAGTGTAAGATATAAGCTTTAATTTAAACCTATATAGAAGTCTCTATCACGTCAGGTTAAGGAGAAAAAAAATACTGAAAACCCTCAAAAACACGGGTTTTGGAGTCTTTACCCCCACTTTACTCAAAATCCTGACGTGATACGCAATTTTATAACCCGGGATAGTTTTCAGGACACAAAAATAAATTGGAAACCACTCTGATATCTCAAAAAAATACCTTGTAGACTTGTTGTGTTGGTGAGACAGACAAACAGAGAGCGCTTATCGAAGACTGAATTCAGTGTAATGATTGTCACCTTTGGCTTCATGAAAATTGCACTGAATTTAATGATAAATGTTCGAAATGTGGTCAGAAGAAGAAAAGAAGACATTAATCACTTTAAATTAAGAATTCTGATAAAGCGGAAAGCCAAAGAATGATTTTAAAGTATTGGCCATCTCTCCCGTACGCCTATGGCCATCTCCCCCGTACATTCCGGGAGAGATGGCCAAACGCGTTTTTTAGAAAATATTAATTTTAAGATTGTTTGCATTTAAAAAATTTCTCATTTATATTATTTTTTGTAAGTTAAATGTTCAATGTTTAATTAGCAATAAAAGTTAATACATAAATCACTTTCTTCTTACTTTTACATGCCTTTAAAAAAACTATGGCCAACTCCCCCGGACTTACCCTAAAGATATCATATAAATTGAATGAGCTACAAGCTTTCAAAGTTGCCCTTTGTTAAAACCATGCAAAAAACCATGTATTTTTAATCTTTAAAAATCTGTAACAAATACAAAAAATTTTTTGGTTATTTGCAATTCTGTATAGAAACGTAGGAATAGTGTAGCTACTGATTCCATGTTGTCTTAATAACGTACGATTTTTTTTATCCAAGTTATGAGCTTTCAAAGACAGGGGTCTTTACATTTTGAACCGATAGTACTCTTCCGGATGTGACACGGGAAATTCAACTCATTGATATCAGGTTGTGCCTGCATTAATAGAAAGACTAGTTTTGACACTTTTTACATCATCTAATGCGGTACAAAATAAGGAAACAACTACGTAAGTAACGATTGTATTGTTCCTTTTTTTATAAAACTCATTTTTAAGGAAAAACAAACTACGACAAACTTAAAGCATAATGTGTTGTTTTGGCCTATCCCTATTCTTGGCTTTTATTTGAAATAGAATTGTGTATTGAATAAAGACAAAAAGAATTTGAAATTACAACCAAACTATAATTCAAAACTAAATTCATGTTTAAATTCTTAATGAACTGATAATTGAAGGAAAAACTAAATTGTAATAGAATCTCTGAAAAGTTAATTTTTATGTAATAAACACAAGTGAATTTATAGAGTTGTTTAATTCAGCCTATCCTTAATCATCAGTAGAGATAGACATATGAGAAATGATAATGATATTCTTTCGATCCAGGAAACGATCTCATAAATAAAAAAAAAACTTAATAAATATTAGATTTGATTTTCGTTGTATTTATTTTGGTTGTTGTGACCGAAGAGAAGAAATTATAAGAGAAGAATAATTATAATAATATAATTGTAATCAATTAAATTATTATAAAAATAGAAGGATGTTT